ATTTCAATATCGATTTTATTTATTATTTTTTTAATAAAGAACTGTAGCTCACAGAGAAGTTTTATTGCTGCTGCCTTTAACGTAGATGATTATTAGATTTATTTGATATATATATATATTTGAAGCTTAATATATATATGTACTTAACTTATTTTATTTAGCATAAGCTTCTGGCGCCCATTGAACAATACCAAGGTTTGTATTTCCTACTCCCAAATGCCCGACTGATTCCAGTTAGCCGTTCGCAAAGGCCTTATAAAATTTACTACTTAGTCCTATTTCCTACTGTTATAACATCAGGACATAAAAATAAGGTTATAAAGTAGTAAACACAATATTGTTTACCCTGGTGTTTGTCCGACATCAATATCTTTTTTGGTTCAAAAGTTAACAGGGGGGGGTTTAACGCGCTCACTTTATAAAACTCTTTTATAAATCCACTGGTAACGGTTACTATAGGTTATATAAAATGTTTGTATAAACAATTATATAATATAATTATATACCTAGAGTTTACAGTAACCTTATATGACTATTATAAAACTAGTAAATTAAATGGTGATTTTATAAAACCTTGTTATACTCTTATATAATTTGACAAACCTTATATAAACTGCATATTAGGGTGATTCAAAAAAGCCTTTTTTTAAAAATGAACCCGCACTGGCCTAAATTATAAAGATTACATTAAAACTAAAAGATTGATACCAAAAAATCCAAATTCGATGAATATTTAGAGGTCGCTCAAATCGATTTTCGTATTTTTGCACATTCGAGCCGCGAAATTATTACTGCGCAAAATAGTAAATAACTCCGTTAGTTTTTTATCGATATTATTAAAAATTTAAGGGTTACCTAGTTTTTTAATACCCTCTGAGACAGTGTATTGAACTTTACGAAAAAAATTTTTTTTTTCATGAAAAAAAAATAATTTGTTAATAAAAACGTATCATCTTATAAAATAAGCAACAATTGGAATCGCACTATGATGGTACCGTAAAAAAAACTAAGAAAATAACACTTAAATTATTTAGCATACATAAAACCTGCCGAAAGAAATATTTTATTTGATTTATATAAAACACAACCTAAAAATAATTAAGTTATTCAAATTTTTCCCATTTTCATACTATTTTATAAATAATTTATATCCGTTTTATTAATTATGACGTATTTTTATAAAATTTCTTTATTTTTGATACCATATTTAATTAATTACACTAAGTAGTTATTAATTTATGTCCTTTTTATAATTAAAATTAAAAAAATCCACTGCTCTACATCTTTTTCTTTGCAATGATTGTTTGAAATGTTAATTTTTTCAACCATTTTTTCTTTTGTTTCAGTAGGTACTCTTTTATTAAAAAATGCCAAACAAATTAGCTCTTCTATTTGCAATTCTTTATTTTTGTAAACATGAAGTTCATGAAGTGTTTTCAAATAATTTTTGGGCTTGGAACCAGGCAAATATGTAAACCGAAATAATAAAAATACAAATTCTACGCAATGACTTATTTTCATTGTTAGTGAGTTTAAATTAATCCCGAAATAAGAAAATCTTTAGAGAGTATATAGCTTTGTTCATCCATCGGGCATGCTATCTATCTCCACCAAGGTATAAGATGTTTTTCTTTAATTTCTCAACAAATTAGTTTTGGTACTTAGACGCTTTTGAATTAAGTAAATAATACATATATATATATATATATAAAATTTATCAACTACCTGGTAGTAGGTCCTACTATCAAAATTTAAGAATAATAATTATTATTGTGGTATGTCAATTTAGCAACATCTGGACAGAATCAAATAATTTTGGTATCAAAATTTGAGAATTGTTGTATGTCAATAATTTTAATAAAATTTAAATTTCTGCTTAAGCCATATCAATGCAGTAAATAATTTTGTAGTTATTTTATTTTAGTTGTAAAAAGGACCTAATTTAATAACTACCTAGTTTAATTAATTAAATATGGTATCAAAAATAAAGAAATATTATAAAAATACGTCATAATTAATAAAACGGATATAAATTATTTATAAAATCGTTTGAAAATGGGTAAAATCTAAATTACTTAATTATTTTTAGGTTATATTTTATATAAATCAAATAAAATATTTCTTTCGGCAGGTTTAATGTATACTAAATAATTTAAGAGTTATTTTCTTGATTTTTTTATGGTACCATCATAGTGCGATTCCAATTGTTGCCTATTTTATAAGATGATACGTTTTTATTAACAAATTATTTTTTTTCATGAAAAAATTTTTTTTTTCTGTAAAGTTCAATACACTGTCTCAGAGGGTATTAAAAAACTAGGTAACCCTTAAATTTTTAATAATATCGATTAAAAACTAACGGAGTTATTTACTATTTTGCGCAGTAATAATTTCGCGGCTCAAATGTGCAAAAATACGAAAATCGATTTGAGCGACCTCTAAATATTCATCGAATTTGGATTTTTTGGTATCAATCTTTTAGTTTTAATGTAATCTTTATAATTTAGGCCAGTGCGGGTTCATTTTTAAAAAAAGGCTTTTTTTGAATCACCCTACTGCATATAGTTTATCTTTACCATAAGTAGTACAAATTGTTTATTGGGTGAACACCGAATTGTTCATTCACGTCATACGCCATTTCATCAAGCACTTTTTTCCAGTTCAAAAATCTATCCGAGCCTACTTATTATGGACAACTATCAGAGTCATCTCTCAATTGAAGCTAGCGATCTATGTCACAATTTTAACAATTCCTCCACATTTTACAAACAAACTCCAGCCTCTGGATGTAGGTATTATGAAACCATTCCAGTCTTTTTACAATGCGGGAGTCGATTCATGGATGATAAGCCACCCAGGTCAAACGTTCTCCATCTATAACGTCGCTTCTTGTGTTGGCATCGCTTATCCTCGTGCCATGACACCAGTGAATATCATCGGCGCTTTCAGAAAAGCAAGAATATATCCCTTCGACAGACATAGTCTTCATATAATGTATATAGAGTCGAAAGAAGCTCATTAAGAGTAGTTTTAAAAGAGGTGGTGGAGTTCATATTGCCGTAAATAAGTCGCATGTGTCTAGTTGTATAAATATTGTTTGTTAGTGTAAAAATAAATTCTTATTCCTTCTAATTCCGCCCAATTCTTCTGTTAATGTTTATGAATTACACTGCTCTAGTGTTGAGGCAATAATGGATACCCTAAATGGCGTAACATCAGTAATATGCGGTAACTACAACCTACCAAATACTGAGTTGATTAATTGTGATATTGGTGTTTGTGCTCCTGGTCTTATAATTGAAAATTGTCCTATAGTGTCTGATTGTTTTGCACTATGTAATTGTTATCAAATTAATGTTGTAAAAAATGTATATAATAACATACTTGATCCTGTATTTAGTGGTGATTTAAATATCACTACAGAAATTGCTAATGATGCATTATTGCAATGTGATGCCTATCATCCAGGTATCTGCATAAAAAAATCTCTAGTCTGCCATAAAAATGAAATTGAATTTGAATATTTCTATTTTGATTTTAGAAATGCAAATTTCACATCTCTTAATGAGCATTTATGTATTGTTAATTGGGAGCTGTTTTTTTCTAGTCATGATGTACATATTTGTGTTAATTCTTTTTATGAAATTTTAAATTATATGTTCGAGTTATATGTCCCAAAAAAGAAATCTGTTAACCATCGGTTCCCGGTATAGTTTTCAAGTGATTTAAAAAATTTAATTTTTCAGAAAAAATGGCTTATAAAAGATACAGACAGTCTCCAAATAATATAAACTATAGTAAATTTAGAAATCAGCGTAAGATCTTAACTAATAATTATTATAATAGTTATAAAAATTATATCGAATCTTTGGAACAAAATATAAATGCAACCCCAAGTACTTTTGGAATTACTTAAGGAGTAAAAAACGATAATTTTATGCCAAGCAAAATGTTTTATTATAATACATGGTCTGACAACCCAAATGAAATAGCAAACTTTTTTCCAATATTTATAGTTCAGTTTACGCAACTCATAGTGATATTAAAGTACCTGTTAGTCAGGTAGATGCGATTTACACAGACTTTTCCAAGGCATCTGATATCGTAAATCATAGGATATTACTATCAAAACTTAAAGCATTGGAAATAACGGGTAACTTATATTATTGGCTTGAGAGTTATTTAAACCATAGAACCCAAAAAGTTATCATAAACAACCAACATAAATCTAAAATAATTAATGTTACATCTGGTGTTCCACAAGGTGGTTATTTATCTCCACTATTATTTAATTGTTTCATTAATGATATAGTATCCAATTTAAAATATTGTAAATATTTACTCTTTGCTGATGATCTAAAAAATCTACAAAGAAGTTAAAGACATAAAATATTGCTGTGATATTCAAGAAAACTTAAAACAAATTCAAATCTGGTGCAAAAACAATTTTATGAAACTAAATAAAAATAAATGTAAAGTTATTAATTTTTATAGATTAAAAAATTATGTTTCGTTTCCGTACTCCATAAATAATTTTATTCTAGATAATGTTTTATTACATTACAAATAAAGCTCTAAGAATGCTTGGGTTTGTAAAACGGAATTTAAAAGATTTTAATAATGTCTATTGTATATTAAATATTTATATGTCCTTCGTGCGAAGTGTATTGCTGTGTTGTATGGTCTCCTTTTTTTAAAGCATATACAAATAATTGAAAGAGTCCAAAATGAATTTTTGCGATTTTGTGCCTTTAAGTTAAATATAGGTACCGATAACCTTGACTACATCTTTATTAGAAATATTACTAATTTAAGATTATTAAGTCAAAGAAGAACATAGCACAGTCTTATATTTCTTTATAAATTATTAAATAACTTCATTAACAGCTCTGAGTTGTATTTGGCAACAATGGCAACATACGAAAATTTAAGTGCTGAGTTAATTAAACTTAAAAAAGAAACGTTAATTGAAATAATAATTAACAAGAAAGTACCACCAGGTCTAACGTTAAGTGAATCCCTTGGAAAACACATTGGAAGTTGTGAAAATTGTGAAACAGACAAAGTTAATAACGGCGAACGTAACTTAACCTCTCAAAACTTAGTTGAGGTAGGTCTAAAGCATGAATTAGAAATAGTTAAAATGGATCTACAACATACCAAAAGACTGGTAACTGAATTGGAAAGAACAATTGATTATCAAACGGAAATTATTGGCCTATTAAAGAATTCGCAACCCAAACAAAATATATGCGACGTTGCCAATGTGAACACGGTCCCACAAAAAAAGGGAAAAAACAAGAAGAATGAAAATATAACAGCAATAGACGAAAAAGAAAATAAAAAAATCCAAGAAAACACCACCTGTGTAATAGAAAAAATCAAAGAAACTCCAAAGGCTCTTAAAACAATTGGCAATAACATTGATCAACATCAAAGTTTTGCTGCAGCAGTTAAAAAAGCCTGGCTTTGTATAAGCAAGATCAAAATAGGAACTCAAGCTGGAGAAATACAAAATTATTTAAAGAATAAATTTCCAAGTAAAGAATTTACCGTTGAAGAACTTCCAAGACGTAAAGAAGCTACAAGCATGTCCTTTAAATTGGGAGCGGATATGGAATTATTAGAAGAGCTTCATAAACCAGAAACCTGGCCAAATGGAATCTATATAAAGAGATTTTACTTTTTTCGACCAAACAATGCTAAGTTCGGAGCAGAAACAAATTAAATTAGAATTAAAAGAAGATTTAAAAATTATAAATTTAAATATACAGTCAATAACAACAAAAATCCAATCACAGATTGAACAGATAAATCTTGAGTCGGCAGAATGTTCAATCACAGATTGAACAGATAAATCTTGAGCCGGCAGAAGGGTCAATCATAGGTTAAAACCCAAATTTAACAGAAAAATAGTTCAACATATGTTTATTATTATTGTTTAGATATCACTCGTACAAGTAGCGTAAAAGCGACCTTGTGCTATAAACTACTTAGTCAGCAAAAGTTCCAGTCAGTAGCGTACAGAATAAAATACAATTAAAAACACATGTTTTGTCTAGTACGCTACTGATATTTGTTTTAAATACAATTATAAAGTGTTTTAAGTTTATAGTTCGAAAACATCAAATAATATGATATGTTTTATAAATTATTTAACTTTGTTGGGTATAAAACTCTGACAACTTTTAATAAAGACATAGTTTAACACTGCTTACTCTATCATTTCAATAGAATCTTAATTGATCTCTATTCATGGTCCTTCGAACCGGATTGGATCATGGTCCTTCGAACTACGTGCTAACGCTGGGAGGTGAGCATCATCAAAGAGAAAATCTTTGTACTCGCCCAGCGCTTAGCATAGCTAACCAAGCTACAGAAAATATTACACTGGGAGGACAAACTGATCCAGCAGCCCAGAAAATTTTGGAGTAAAGAAGAGCACTGTCCTGAAAAGTAAAGAATCCGGACCTGTCTTCGCCTCCACACAACCAAGCTACAAAAATATTACACTGGGAGGACAAACTGATCCAGCAGCCCAGAAAATTTTGGAGTAAAGAAGAGCACTGTCCTGAAAAGTAAAGAATCCGGACCTGTCTTCGCCTCCACACAACCAAGCTACAAAAAATCTTACACTGGGAGGACAAACTGATCCAGCAGCCCAGAAAATTTTGGAGTAAAGAAGAGCACAGTCCTGAAAAGTAAAGAATCCGGACCTCTGTTCGACTCCACATAACCAAAAATGCATTTCAACTACAAAACGTCACTTCAAAAAGTGAACAAAATGACACTCAACCACGAAACTATGGATCAATCCAGGCCCCGGAGCGTTCAACCAGAAAAAGCTTCGGGTCAGCATTCGAGACGCCAGACTAATCACCAAGAAGGAGCTCTGGGTCCACAGCCATCATCAGGCGATCCACAACGACCAACTACCGGGATTTACGACCCCGAACAAATGGTGACCTGTCCGTACGACGACAGCCACCGAGTCCTAGCAAAGAGGTTACCGTACCACAAGATGCGGTGCCTCGTCAACAACCCAAGGGCCAGGAAAATGGAACCACCGTCATATCTCATCGAGGAAGAACGCAGGGCATATGAAGTCAGAATAATACGACCACCCGTAAAAGACGTTTTCCCATGGGAGAACGAAGAAGAGGAATGGGAGCTGCAGGATGGCAGCTATCTAGACTATCTTCCGCCAATAAAACCAATACCTCCACGAGCCAAGAAGAGTCGTGGCCGGCAGAATGTTAAAACACAATTTTAACATAATAATCTTAAATAGCGAATCGGCAGAATGTTCAATCACAGATTGAACAGATAAATCTTGAGTCGGCAGAATGTTCAATCACAGATTGAACAGATAAATCTTGAGCCGGCAGAAGGGTCAATCATAGGTTAAAACCCAAATTTAACAGAAAAATAGTTCAACATATGTTTATTATTATTGTTTAGATATCACTCGTACAAGTAGCGTAAAAGCGACCTTGTGCTATAAACTACTTAGTCAGCAAAAGTTCCAGTCAGTAGCGTACAGAATAAAATACAATTAAAAACACATGTTTTGTCTAGTACGCTACTGATATTTGTTTTAAATACAATTATAAAGTGTTTTAAGTTTATAGTTCGAAAACATCAAATAATATGATATGTTTTATAAATTATTTAACTTTGTTGGATATAAAACTCTGACAACTTTTAATAAAGACATAGTTTAACACTGCTTACTCTATCATTTCAATAGAATCTTAACTGATTTCTATTCATGCCTTAAATAATCATTTATTAAATAATAGTGTACAAATTTTGGGATTAACAGAACATTGGCTTACAGATGAAATAATTACAAAAATAAGAATCCACAACTATTCAGTGGCAAGCTACTTCTGCAGAAAAAACTTTATTCATGGAGGGGCAGCAATATTGGTGCATGATAGTTTAAAATATGCAGAACTACCTGAAATAAAAAATATATCAATTGAAAAGGACATAGAATTGGCAGGGATATATATTAAGAAAAAAAATATGGTTTTTATTACTACTTATCGGTCTCCTTTGGGAAATATGAATATTTTTATGGAAAAACTAAACTTGGTTTTGGAATATGTAAATAATAATTATAGTGATACAAATTTATTTTTATCAGGAGACTTTAATGTAGATTTTCTAAAAAACTCTGTATGCAAACAAGAGTTACAAAGTTTATTAGAAACATTTAATTTAAAACCATGCTTTAAAGAAGCATCGAGAATTTCAAAAATCTCTTCTACATGTATTGACAATATTTTTACAAACATCAAGGTATATGAAGGTAAAACACAAAACTTGCATATTTCGGATCATAATGCACAAATATTAACAGTTAAATCTAATAAAATTCAAAAACCTCATACAGTAATAAAAAAAAGAATAATTTCAGATGAAAATACTTACAACTTTGTATCACTTGTAATTAATCACTTTAAGGAAAATGAATATATGGCAAACAATGAAGGTTTTTCCAAATTCCATGACCTTCTTATTCAGTGTTTTTGTACCGCTTATCCTGAAAAAAATATAAAAGTTAAAACCAAAAGAAAAAATAAAATAAATGAAACCATAGAACTTCAACAAATAAAAAAACAACTAGATGGTCTTGCAACAATCATGAAAGTAAATAAAGATATGATTTCATTTGAAACCTATAAAGAAATGAGGTCTTACTACTATGAAGCTTTAAATAAAAACATAAAAAATAGGAATTCTAATTATATATCAAATTCATCCAATCCGAATAAAGCTATATGGGAGGTGATCAATAGTGAAACAAACAAACATAAAATATTAAGTTCTCAAGAATCCACTTTAAAAGCTGAAGATTTTAATACTTTTTTTAAAAACATAGGAAAATTTCATGATGTAGAAGCTAAACCTGCAGAAGAGTTTCTAAAGAATCATAACAATTTTAGCCACACTTCATGTTTCTTCGAAGAAGTTACTGAAAAAGAAGTGTTTAGTATAATTATGAACCTTAAATCAAAAGAAACCTTAGATATTTATGGACTAAATACAGTAATTTTAAAACAAATAGCTCTTTACATAAGTAAACCACTTGCAATATTATTTAATAAAAGTCTACAAAATGGCACATTTCCCGATGAACTAAAAATTGCAAAAATTGTACCCATTCATAAAAACGGTGATGCAAATAAGCCAGAAAACTATAGGCCTATATCAGTTCTACCATCATTATCAAAGGTTTTTGAAACAATAATCAGACAAAGGATAGTAGAGTTTTTGGAAAAAAAGAAGCTTTTTAACAACCAGCAACATGGATATCGAAAAAATAGATCTACTACAACAGCAATAAATTCCATAATAAAGTATATAGTTACGGCACATGACAAAAAACAAAAAGTAGAAATGGCGTGTTGCGATTTAAGTAAAGCCTTTGACACGGTGGATAGACAACTACTTTTAAGAAAACTAGAACATTATGGATTTAGGGGAATAGTTTATGAGCTATTAAAATCTTACCTAATGGATAGACGTCAAGTTGTTAAATGGAAAAACGAATATTCCACAGAAGTAGTCACGTCATATGGTGTTCCTCAGGGTTCGATTTTGGGTCCAGTACTATTTATCTTATATACAAATGATTTGCCTGCAAATATTCCAGAAAGTGAAGTCTGTCTTTATGCAGATGATACATCAATTATTTATAAAGTTCCTAAAGAAATTAATATAGGTGAAAAATCTAAAACTATATTAAAAACAGCCAAAGAATGGATGAACTCCAACAAACTTAAATTAAATGAGAAAAAAACACAAATAATAACTTTTTTTGGAGATAGTAAAACCACAATCAAGTTTTTGGGTGTTCATATAGATAGTGAACTTAAATGGAACAAACATGTAGAAGTCATTAGCAAAAAACTTACCAGTGCAATCTACTGCATGAGAAGATTAAAACTCTGTGCCAATATGATATCCACAAAAACAGCCTATTACGCCATGTTTCACAGCATTGCCAGTTATGGAATTTTATTCTGGGGGATTTCTACCGATTCCTACAAAATATTTATTTTACAGAAAAAAGCGATTAGAATAATCTGTGATTTAAAAACAAATGAGAGTTGTAGAGAACATTTTAAAAATCAAAAAATACTTACAATTCCATCTATATTTATTTTGGCAGCAATAAAGTATGTATATTTAAATTCAGACGAATTTGATAGAAATTCTGAAAATCACACCTACAATACTAGACACATGAACTTTTTCCAAATTCCACTTCACAAAAGCAAATTGGCACAACAAAGTATTCACTATTGGGGACCGAAACTGTTTAATCATCTTCCAGAATCAATAAAAAAAATAAAGAATCCCAAAGCTTTTTCAAAATCTGTGAAAAGTATTTTAATCCAAAATTGTTATTATTCTTTAAATGAATACTTAAATACTAATTTTAACTTTCAATGTTTATAAATATGTTTTGTTGTTTATATTATATGTACATACCGTTTTTTTAATATGTTTTTTATACCTATAGCTATGTTCATTTTATTTTTTTAATTTTATATACATATGTACCTGACGTTTAATGTAATGTTTATTACTTAATAAATGTATCTATCTATCTATCTATCTATCTATCTATAATCAAATAAAAACGGGCCACAAAGACAAACAAGAGAAAATAATTTATTTTATCTAAAAACATATAGAACAGAGTATACAAAACGTAACTCGCTTAATCGCATGTGTGCTGATGCAAATAAATTTGATTTGGACTTTTTTAATGGCAGTTTAGGGACATTTAAACACAACAGGCAGTGTGACTAAAACATAAGTGTTTACTTTAAGAATTAAGTTATAGCATAAGTACAATCGTATTAGATTTAGCTATAAGTTTAAGTACATTCTGAAAAAGTTGTGAATAATATTTTGCTTATACTTATAAGTGTATACTTTAGGTTTAAACTAACAACAGTAAACATCCTGGTTTTCTTATCCATTTTTTTACTTTTTTTTAAACATCTTTAGTGAATAAATTATTTGTTATTCCAAAAAAACTTTGTAAAAAGCGGCCGTATTCAATATATTTCAGGTTATTTCGTTTACAACCATTAGCAGACACACGTTTGTGAGTTAAAAATGAATTCCGACGGCAGTGAATCTCTTTACTCCGAAGTCGGTGAAGAACAAAGTGGCAATTTATAGAGGCTTTATCTAAACACAAAGTATTATTTGATAACTGACAGTGGCAGAAGAATTTGGATTTAAAACATATCACATATATTGAAAAACCCTTTATTTCAAATATTTTTATATTTAAACAGTTTTACTAATAATATAAACTTAGCTTACAAGACGTAACGCCAGGAGGCGCTGGCAGCTTTATTTAACTTGGCAACGCAGCCTTTATGTCATTTTACGTGGGAATTACTGTGATATAAATAACTTTTTGCCGCGCTTTGTTTTTTTTGTTTATTATATGTTTTACTGAATGTTTATTGTAGTAGTGATTATCTTTCTAAAATTAGACGATACATTAAAAATAATAATACCTCTGGTACGTAATAAAGCCCCTAGGTATAAGTTTAAATTAAAAAACTAAAAGACTAATAGGTCATTTAAAATAGCATTTCACCGCAGTAATGGATCCAAATTTTGACGACATAGTTTCTGAAATTTTGCGTAGCCCTGAATGCCGGAATACTCTAGAGAACACAGTGAAAAATTTAAGTGGCAATAGAAGTCATAGCTCCAGTCTTTTGCCAGTGTGATCCTCCCTGGTACAAAATGCCACTTATCAAAGTGGTCCAAGTGGTCATTTATTCCCACCATCAAGCAGGGTTGGCATGATATATATCAATGATATATATCCGATATATATCATTGATATATATCATGATATTTATATCTTGATATATATCATTTAAAAAAAATTAAAAATAGGTAATTTTTATTATTATAAATTTCTCGAAGCCGGTCCTGTTATTATTTTAAAAATGCTTTAGTCCGGTCTCCCTTCTTATATTCTTTTTCAATGATATAAAGCGTACTACGTGTTTATTGTTACAAAGCAACACACTTGTTAAAATCAAAATTTTATACAGGGATGGTAATGGGCTTTTAGGCCGTTTAATAAACAAAGATGCATGCTATATATAAAACGTACGAATAAGTGAGATAAACGTATAAATAAGAGAGACAAACAACCATTGTTGAACGAATAGGATAACAAAATTCTTATTTCCCCTCTGCCATAAGCGTGCAGTACACGATTTTAAAACGATTAAATCAAAACAATTAAACGTCCACCAATGTTTTACTTCCCCTCCTCTAACTGCTTTACATTCCCACTACTAGATAACCTTGACGCATATTTCGCAATCGAGTGACTCGATAATTTTAGTAATATTCGGTCCACGTTGGAGTGCGGACGGAGGAATTTTAAATTTCCTTTAAAATTTAACTATGATTTTGTTTATAAACGAAAATGTGGAAAGTAAACCATAGTATTATTGTAATAAAAAAAAACAAATATTCTTAAACAAAAATGGTATTCTAAAATGTTTAAATAAATAAATTAAAGTAAATGTTTAAACAAAAATTGTATTCTAAAATATTTAAATAAAAAAATAAATAAAGTAAATGTTCAAACAAAAATGGTGTTCTAAAATATTTAAATAAAAAAATAAATAAATCAAAGTAAATGTTCAAATAGGCCCCCAAACGCTGCTGTACAATAGGTTAACCTATTATAAAAATTTTGGTCGTACATTTGACAGCATCTCAGGTCTGATATTCCTTAATGTATTAATTATTAATTCTCTTAATTCATCAAGGTTATTTGCCCTGATATGCTGGAATCCGTACATTTTGGATTTGGCATATCCCCACATAAAAAAATCGCACGGAGCCAAGTCCGGTGATCTTGCTGGCCAGAGAATATTTCCGTGACCACTTATTATGCGGTCTGCAAAAGTGTCTTGCAAATATTCTCTTACCAATAGGGTATTATGTGCGGGACATCCATCCTGTTAAAACCATACTGTCTCAAAAGGCACAGGCAGAGCACGAACTGCGGGAACAATTTCATTTTGCAGCAGTTCAAGATACTTTTGACCATTTAAGGTACCATCTATAAAAAATGGACCTATAACATGGTCTCCCAGCATTCCACACCAAACATTTAATTTTTGTGGTCGTTGAGTATTGGCAGCATAATGCTGATGAGGATTCGTCCTGGACCAATACCGATGGTTCATGGAATTATGCCTACCATGTATAAAAAATGACGACTCATCGGTAAAAAGGATATTTCGTGTGAAATTTTCATCCCGGTTCGCCATTTCTATAACGGTTTCGCAAAATTTCATGCGACGGTATGGATCATCAGGAAATAGCTCATTACTCCTCTTTAATTTGTATGGGTGATACCCATGCTTTCTTAAAATTTTGCCTACCATAGACCGTGATAGATCGAACTGTTCGGCAACTTGTCTTGTTGACTGGGTTGGATCTTGTTCGATGCTTGCACAAATTAAAGTGTCCCGTAATTCGCGTTCTTCATTTACTGGCCTTGCTTGCGGTTCCCTATTATGAACCCTATTAACACTGCCGAATGTTAAAAAATTATTTACAACATTTTGAATTGTTGCCCTTGCTGGTAAGGGTCTATTTGGGAACATATTTGGAAATAATCTTTGAATTTCTCGATCTGAGATCCCATTTAAATGCCACGTTATAAATTGAATTTTTTCTTCAAGGGTGTAAACCATTTTTATTAGAGAATATTTCCTAATTTATAACAAACGTACTACCGCTTACTTACAACACATTCTCTTGTCTGCGGTCGCCCTGGGTCGGGCGATGATCGTAGCCGCGCGGCGCGGTCTGGCTTGCCCCACTACTCTTACGTCACTCCACCACTCCCACGTCTCATAATGTATTTGTCTTTATTTATTAAACGGCCTAAGAGCACATTACCATCCCTGTATACCTAATAATTGCCGCTTCATATTTACAGTGGCAGACAGAATACTGCAAAAAATACCTACTTTATTTACATATAGGATTCCCCGAATTTGTTCAGGGCTCGGTTTCGACGAATACCTGTTTTACAAAAACAAAGGGAAATTGATTAAAAATTCATTTCATAATTTCTCCAGACGTTTATTGAATCGTGTGGGTGTTTTATTTAATTTATGTTGAATCATTATACTATACCGTTAATAATAAAATGCCAAAACGTAAGCTAAATATTTGGATGCATTTTGAAGAAACAAAAAAGATTGGAAATTCTGGAAAATGGGCTAAATGTAAAAAATGTAAAAAAGAAATGCAAGGCATACCAACACGTTTAAGCGATCATTTAGTTAAATGTCCAGGAGGACATGCAAATGAAAATGAAGATAATGTAATACTTATAGAACAAACCAAAGAGTCGGAAAGTATTGCTAGTGAGCCTTCAACAAGCCAGCAAGGTAAATAAATTATAAATTTTACTAAACAAAAACTAATTAAAATTTAATTAACAATATCTTTTCACGCTAATCTTAAAATGAGGTGTTTTTGTTCTAATATACATATTTTTTAAATTTTAGTTGATCCTAGGAAAGATGTAGGTGAGAGCCCTCCAAAGAAAACAAAATTTGGTCTACTTAATGTATCTAGATACTCCGATGTTGTTGTAATGTCCAAAAAATATACAAAGCAAATTGACATTCAAATGGGAAAATTTTTCTACTCTACTAATACCTCATTTGCTTACGTAGAACATGAAGAGTTTCTAAAATTATGCAACTTATTAAGACCAGGTTATGTTCCTCCCAGAATGTAAAAATAAATATAAAGGAGAAATTGTCTCCATGTCTTTGGATGGATGGAGCAACGTACATAACGAACCAATAATATGTACATCTTTTGTAAGTCAATCTGGTGAGTCTGTACTTATTGATACTGTTGATACAACCGGTAAATCTCATACAGCAGAGTACCTGAAAGAAATTGCTTTAGAATCAATGTCTAACGCCACTAAAAAATTTGGAGTATCAGTACGTAGCATTGTTACAGATAATGCTAGTAATGTTGCTAAAATGAGAACAAACTTGGAAAGTGACAACTTAATACAATATGGATGTTCGGCACATGTATTAAACCTCTTGGCCTTGGACTTGGACAATTCTGCAGTTACTGATCATATTTTACGTGTGATAAAATATTTTCGAAATAAACATTTACCCGCCGCCCTTGCAAAGGAAACACTTGGAAAGAAACTTATTTTACCCCATGAAGTTCGTTGGAACACGATGACTGATGCAATCAAGTCATTTTTGGAAAATCGAGGTAACTTGGTTCAGCTATGCCAAGATCACAAAAATGACATCGATCCTCACATAACTAAAATTATAAATGACGTAAATATCGTAATGAATGCTGAACATATGCTTAGCTATCTAAAGCCAATAGCAGTCGCTTTAGACAGAGCTCAAAGAGATAAAACGACTATTGCCATTGTAGTTGAAATTTGGAATAAACTTGAACTGGATCTTAAAGGGCAATCCTTAGATGTTAAAAAACATTTTTATCGAAGAAAAGATATGGCTTTAGATGCACCACATTATCTAGCTAATATGCTCGACCATCGATTTTTGGGTAAATGTTTAAATAACCACCAAAGAGAACAAGCATTTACTTATTTAAATAAAATTAATCCGGATTTCATTCCTTTTGTAATGGCGCTTTTAGCTGAATCTACACCATTTCCAAAATATGTATTTTTGCCTCAGTTTAGAAATACATCACCTATGATGTGGTGGAAAGGAATTATTATTGATGATACAACTTGGCCAAATAAACAAGGCTTTCTATCTCTATGTGAACAGCTGCTTACTGCAATTGCGGCTACCGCATCTCTTGAAAGAATGTTTTCATCATTTGGACTTGTGCAATCGAAACTACGTAATAGGCTTGGAAACGAAAAAGCTGGAAAATTGACGTTTTTATTTAAATACAAAAATCAGTAAAAAAAAAATAAAAATGAAAATATGGGTTGGATTTGGGAGAATTTAAAAACACAAGAATTATCGGGACCTTCTATCGAATCTGACGAATCCGATGATTATTTACCTATAATAAAGTTGTTATAAATGTGTTAGTTTTCTTGTTATAATATCACAAATTCCTAAATTTTATTTGGCTACTAATAGTACCTACTATAAAAATTCTTAGATAAACAAATTATTTAAAAAAATAAATATCAAAACTTGATATATATCGGATATATATCTGATATTTTGATATTTATATAAATATCATGATATTTGCCAACCTTGCCATCAAGTACATCACCAAATACACATATGGCTTCTAAAAGTATTTTAGTTTCTCAAGAAATACATGGGATTTTCCCAAGCATTAGAAGAACTTCTTTAAGTGGACCTGAGAATAGGGGATGTAAGAGAAAAAGAAAAGTGAAATCCAACTTTCAAAAGGATGTATACTTGGTTACAAATCCAAATCGTGTAAATAACCTAAAAGGGTTAAAAAAAAATTATGCTACAGAAAATGGTTTGTCTTAACCTTTGTTTGTAATTGAATTGCTATTTTTATTGTTTTAAAAAGTTAATTAAACACCTCGATACCCACAGATCATGATCGTAGGTAATGGTGAGGTATTTTTTTTTAATTTTTGATTACAATAATTATTATTAATACCTAATATTTTCTATGCATGAAACTTTTTAGGACATATAATATCAAGAGTACAGTTCAATATTAACTGGAGTGGTAAAGAAATTATTAGATGTTATTAATGTTTATTTCCTGTACATTTGATAAAAGCAGAGTTTGAAATCATGGTACCTGTAGGGGGGGCAGGCTAACTAAGTTCAGCAGGATGTGTTATAACAAGTAAAAAAAGGTATGGATACGCAATATAAGCAACTGTTTTTGGAACCCAATGAAGATGTGGACGATTCCTATACATTCGTTGTATCTATTGTACCACTTCAGATGACGACGTATTCCGCTGATGGTAGTAGTACAAGTCAAGGAAAAAAGATAATTCTATGGCAAAATCCTTCCCCTTCATAAACAAAATATTGTCGCCCTATTAAAATAATCGTAAGGAGAAACACGACAAACATAGGAATATACAATTCTGCCCTGAGCACATCAATCATAAGACCCGGTCTTAAAGACCGGTGAGCCTCCAAAGGACGCGCAAGAGATAACCAATCTGATGGCTACATTGGGCAATAAGAAGAAAAACGTAATTTATTATCGCTCACTAAAGAAGGCGTTAATGGTTTGGTATTACGCAAAATACATCGGGTCCTTAAATTTAAACAGGACGCGCAAGAGATAACCAAACTGATGGCTACATTGGGCAATAAGAAGAAAAACGTAATTCATTATCGCTCACTAAAGAAGGCGTTAATGGTTTGGTATTACGCAAAATACATCGGGTCCTTAAATTTAAACAGGCGTTATGGCTAATAGACCTTAAATACTGAGCTGCGTAAGAAAGCTGCGAATGAGTTTGAAAAGAACTTGTTAAAGTTGATGAACAATGCAGTCTTTGGTACGTAAAATTGGTTAATATTTTCGATTTACTTTAGTATATAATAACCTTTTATTGTTGCAGGTAAAACTATGGAGAATATACGGAAAAGGGTTAAAATTAAGCTCGTAACCAAGTGGAATGGCCGATATGGTGCTGAGGCTTATATAGCGAAGCCGGAATTTAAAAACTGCACAATTTTCTGTGAAAACTTAGTAACGATTGAGCTTGGTAAACTTCAGATCTGGTGGAACAAACCAATATATGTGGGCGCAAGCTATACTCAACTTGGCGAAAACCACCATATACAACTTTCACTATGGCTATATGGTTAACGCTTTCCCCGATTCTACTGTTATGTATACCTTATCTATGAGCTGCTTTAAGATCCTTATGAAGTTATGAAGTTATGAAGCGAGACTGACATCAATATTTTGATACATTTAATTATTCTGTTAATAATTATTATTATAATTATTATTATAATCAACCCCTCTTGTTAACAAGAAGGTGTTGGGTATGATGAAAGATGAGAACAACGGCGTTCCGATGACAGACTACGTAGGGCTCAAATCTAAACTATACTCAACTAAGGTGTTGCAAACGGAGGAGGATGTAACAAAAAATCGGAAAAAGATGCAGGATGCTAAGTATGATGATGAGGAAATAGATGCTGAAATTAAGAACATGGTTATCACTAAAAAGGCAAAGGGTGTAAAATCTTCTATCTTGAAAACAGAGATTACATTCGAGGATTATGATGAATGTCTCGATAGTTTTAAACAAAAGATAGTTTCCCAACATTTAATTCGGTCTGAGAAGCATCAGGTGCATTCTATAATACAACAGAAGATTGGTCTTTCATATGAGGATGATAAACGGTACCTCATCTCTGGAACAGATAATACTCTGCCCTGGGGACATAATGCAATACCATCAACTTCCTCGAAAAAAAAAGATGGATGTAGATGTAGCCATTGAGCCTGTTTGTCAGTTTGAATAATCAATATTTTAGAATAAATATTGGAGGATCAATGTTAAAATTTGCCTCATTTGTATCTTATTATAGTACATTATGTATATAATAATGCAATGTAATAATAAGAATATATCAATTTTATTAGACAAGTAACAGAGCTGTCAGAAAAAAGTATCTTAGTTACTTTAGAGTAACTTAGTTACTTTAAAGTATCTTAGTTACCGAAAAGTATCTTAGATACCAAAAAGTAACTTAGATACCAAAAAGTATCTAAGATACCACAAGAAAAGTTCCTTTAGTCAAGTTGTTCGAAACGGCCGCGGCCATCGAAGTTATTATAATAAGTATACTGGCGACTTCAGCGACTGGCGCCAATCGACTGGCGGCGTTTTTTGTTATACCTACTTAATGTTTATTCACCTATACTTCTTTTATAATCTGTGACTTCGCCACCCGCTCTGTAGAAGGGTGTTTCCGTTGGTTGCGACTTGAATTTATAGAGGTAAGTCTGAAATAAGTTAGGTAAGGTAAGTACTTGCACTTGCTTCTTTATGATGTACTGATGTAGGATATAGGTTGTTACATTGTACCGTACATTCTATAATGTTCAATTTCCATTTTAAATTTTAAAAAAATGTTCAAAAAGATTAAATGAAAAGTGTGAGATAATTTTTTTATTTTTATAATTAAGTGGTGTTTAATTAACGATTTTATTTTTTTTTATTTTTAAGATATTTTAAAAGTGCCTAAGTTAGACACTTTTTGCATTAGACCCTTCAATGGTTTTAATCAACTAGATTTTATTGAAAAAAATTGTTAAAAAAGTAAGCTTAAAATTATTTGAAAAATCAGGGTGAGGTTGGAACGAATTTTTGTTGGGCGGTTTATACAGGATGTTTCGTGGCCCATTAGAAGTTTCTGGGAAACGAAAAAAGATATCGATTTGAAATTTAAATAGCGTTTATATAATAATAATAATAATAATAATATTAATCCTCTTAAGTTTATTTTTCTAAAATATTTTAAACAAATCTCCACTTCCGGTTTAACACTTTATTCTGGGGTTTAATTATAAAAAAAATTCTAAGTTGGTATTAAACAAATGTTTAAACAATAAATATTGCTAAATTAATGTCACAGTGTTGCCACTGCACTGAGATGAAAAATGACAAATTTAAATTGTTTTTTGCTGTGGCCTAGTGACTTTTTGGACAGCCATTGATAATTAGATTTTGACTTGGAACACATCTTGTTAATTAAATGCTAAAAGTTAATTTTATTTAGATCATCGATTGATTAATTTTGTTAAAAAAGGTTCAAATCTTGTGGGTGAGTTCTATTTCAAAATAATACTAGCATATTTTCTTACAAATCCCTTTATTTTCTTAAATAGGCCTTTTTTTATTGGATAATTGAATTTGGTTTTGATAGTTGGGCATCGTACATGCTTGCAGCTTTGGCTATTAAATATTTGTACCTAATCCAACAGTGTTTAAAATACCCATTGGAAGATTTGTGGATTTGCTGGTAATTTCCAAAACAATCGGTGTACATTGTTCCTGGTGGAATGGACAAGGCCTAGAAAACACTTTAAATTGAAACCTGCATGGAAGAGCTAATAGAACTTACACATTAGTATTGTGCCTGGGCCCTAATTCCTTGGATTGGGTTAATTACATCTCAAATTCACCAAGTAAGCTAAATATAACCTTAATATTACCTTGTATCATTGTAGGGTATAAACACTTGTAACATTTTATAACGGCAATAACTCGCAAATTAAATTAGGTAGTAATTACGACCCTTGTAACAGACGTCTGATTGTATTATTAATTTTTGTAATTGATTCATTTTTGCGAGTGTGCTTAAGTTTGACAGTTAAGGTTATGTTGCCAACATCTGGTTGCACAGTGGGATAACAATTTTATTTGGAGCTACGCTCGCACGGTGGGATAAATATTTTTGTTAGAATAAAGTGTCAATTAATTAAAGTATTGGTTAATTTGTTATTGTGAAAGAAACTCCCTCACCCTGACTTCCTAGTGAGTTTGTCGCAACTGGCGCCCTTGACTTCAGATTTTCGATCTTAAAACTTGAACCTCGACCTAGCGTCGACAAATAAGAGCTGCCGAGGTAAGTGTCCTATTTTATTGTATTTTTTTTTACAAACGTAGGTTACAATATATATATATATATATATATATATTCGACATAAAATTGTGAGTAAAATTACTATACCATGTCCTATACCTAAAGTGAATATTTTTCGATTTATTAATTTTTTTCGTTAAAATTTGAAAAATGCGCGGCAATCAAAAATAGCCTATAACTTTTTTGTTATTAAAAGTATAGGGAATAGTTACATTAATTGAAAGGTTTTTTAATTTACCATTTGATTATGTAAAACATACCGGGTGTTACATTTAAAATAAAAAAGTTATTAACCTTTCAAGTTAGCCTAATTTGCCCTGGGTTTTCTTAGGTAATATGTAAAATAATTTTAAAGAATGAAATGGAATCTTTTAAAGAATGTTTTAAGATTCCAAAAATTCCTTCCCCATATTCGCAAACCTAAGAACAAAAGAGTTATATGCTATTTTTGATTGACGCGCATTTCTCAAATTTAAACGAAAAAAATTAATATCTCGAAAAACATTCACTTTAGATATAGGACAGGGTATAGTAATTTTACTTAGAATTTTATGTAGAACTTAAAAATGTAAAAATATATAGGGTGTTCAATTTGGAATAACAAAGTTGATGTGAAATCCGGTTAAAGAGGAAGTTTAAAATATTTCAGAAAAATAGACTTAAATGGATTATAAACGGTTTTAAAATTTCAAATCGGAATCTTTTTTTGTTTTCCAGAAACTTCTAATGGGCCACGAATGTGAGACACACTGTACTATGCGGATTACATATGGTTCAAATCCGACACCAGGTTAAGACTTGGGATGGGAATCCGGGGATCAGGCCAGTGAAAAATACCGATTTTTTGCATATCTTAACTTGCATCATTTTGTTATTTCAAAACTAAAGTAATAAACGCGAAAGTAATACTTTAAAAAATTTACGAAACAAAAGGAGTCCGGAAATTTTTGACATAACTTTCTTATTAGGTATTTAATTGAAAAGATTAGGCTGAAAAAATTTTAATTTGCGATTTACGATGAAATAAACCAAAAAAATTCCTAGAACTCGAAAACTATGAAAATGATTTTTGAATTTTAAGAATTGAATGTCTTAGATATCTTACTTATATAAAAATTAATATGCAAAATCTCAGGTATTTGAGCTAAACTAGCAAAACCCCTTGGGGGATTTATTTTGGGGGTTACGTAGAATCAATTTTTGCTAATTTCATCCCAGTGTAATTTTTGAAATAAATTGTATGATAAACCAACAAAAATTTGTACATTTTGGTTTTATTTCATTTTAAATAAAATATGATAATAGTTTTGTAGCACTTTTCAATATTTAAATAAATGATTACCTTGTATAAGTGTGAATTCGCGAAAATAAAAAAAACAAATATTTAAATTAAAATAAGGATTTAGAAAGTAGGTTACTCCTTAGACGGGACATATACTATAGATATATTTAGGGTCTGTTTTAGCTTGAAACACTTCATATTTTTAAATAATTTGATTAATTTTGCTAAAATATTTTGTTTTTTTTGTTTTAGAGTACTTATCATACCTTTCGTTTTTAGATCATGGAAACCGTAGAAAACGAGGATATCACAAGTCCCCCATTATCACCATCTGATCCATATGAGACCGACGGCGATCTTGATCCTGATTATGATCCAGGCAATAATAAGGATAAAAAGAAAAAAAGTAGACTAAGTAACACCCTTTTAGATTTTTTTAAAAGTAGAACAGTAGAAGTGGGTGATTCATTTTCGAATTCAACTAATGAGTCTTTACCATCTACCTTCTCGTCCTCGTCGCTCCTGGTTTCAAGACTTTCAACAATTTCAATGAGAGAAAAATTTAAAGAAAGTCCATTATTTGACGGCAAATTCTACAAACTTTTTTCTTGCACAAAAAATAAAATTGTAGCTGCATGTCGAATATGCCTCCCAAAAGTCAAATATATTTCCGGATCAGATTCGTCAACATCAAATTACTAAAAGCATTTAAAAAAAAGTACACCAAAATGCCTACTCTGAATATTGCCAATATAAGACTAGACAAATTATCAAAAGAAAGGGATCTTTAGAGACCGAAACTGAAAGCAATTCTAACCGTATGAAGCAGACAGATATACGACAGTGTCGACAGTCAATGAAAAATTGGTCTGGCGCAAATATTAATCAAATCGAGTTTGATCATCGCATAGTTAAATTTGTTGTATGTACTACTTCTGCGAAATCTATAGTAGACTCTCCGTCCTTTAAGGCAATCTTTGCTGGTATGCCATTAAATGTTTTGTTTAGAAACTCTATTTTGTCCAGATTGAAACACTTAAATAATGAAGCCTCAAGCAGAATTAAAGAGTTGTTAAAATCAATTGATTACGTGTGTACCACTGCTGACATTTGGTCCACTAAACAACGAAGTTTTCTGGGAGTCACTTGCCACTGGTTGGACCCTGAGACACTAAACCGCAAATCTGCTGCGTTAGCGTGTAGACGGTTCCAAGGTACTCATAGTTATGACCGAGTTTCCCTTCTCTTAGATGAAATTCATAGCGAATACAAGATCGACAATAAAAAATTGTGGCAACGGTAACAGATAACGCTTCTAATTTTTTGAAAGCATTCAGAGAGTTTGGAATAAATGTTAACATCGATATAATGCTTACTACTGGATTAGAAAACTCTTCCGCTGAAGACGTCGACATTAATGAAAGTTTTGACAGTATTGAGCATGAAATGGAAGAAGATAATTTGGGTTTGTCAATTAATGGCAATATTGAAAAATCCCAATCAGAGCTCTTCTTACCTTGTCACCATAGATGCACAAGTCATACTCTTAATTTAATTCCTACAAGGGATATGGCCAAATATATTAAATCAAACACTTCTTTAAGATCGCGTCACACAATAATTATGCATAAATGCACTATGTTATGGAACAAGGGCGGAAGACCAAAAAGTGCCGAGATAATCAAAGAAATATTAGGCTGCCAGTTAAGTTATCCGGGAATTACACGCTGGAATTCTTTGTATGATTCTTTGACCCAAATTTTAAAAAACAAGACCAAACTCCCAACGCTCTATAAAGCTTTAGGGGAAAGGGGGGCACATTCAACCAATTCTCTAAAGAAGGTATGTAAAAATGTTGTTTATTAAACTTGTTCTTTGTTGGCTTGTGCTAATGAAGCATATACTCTTTGGTTACTATTGCCAAGAAAAGTATGCTTCTAAATTTATTTTCAATTTAGAAAATTTGCATTTTAAAAAATATCTGCAAATGGTCGATAGTGCCCCCCCCCCCCCCCCGGTAAGGTACCTTCAACCACTAAGTGAGGCACTTTCAACCAAGACCTAAATACAAAAAAACTATGTACATTTTTGCTCAATCACTATATTTGGTAACTAAAAATACATTCTTTGGTTTACACGGAGAACATAAGATAAAATTGCAAAGCAAATGTCTTATTACTTAACATTATATGAAAATAAGTTTATGTTGAACGTTAGCAGTAAAGAAGTTCTGGCAGTTTTAGCTGAATTGGGTTCTGGTAATTTTAAAATGAGATTAGAGCGGTCAACTATAGATGTGTCATCGACCAGGAGGTAATAGAATGTGTAACCTGGTGTCTTACGACGTAAGAATTTAATTTGAAATTCGTTAAGGTTTATAATGTTTGTGACTTTTCCTATGTAATAATATACAGCAATTTTTAGGGGAAACTTCACCATAACAAAGTCATTTTGTCGTATTTCGTCATCGTCTGTTATAAGATGTACGTTTTCTACATCGCTAAAATCATAGGAAATTTCATCTGATTCTAGAACAATAGACTCGTCAGTATTTGAACTACTTGTGCTCATTCTTCTTATATATTTTCCCTTTTTATTTTCTGGAAATACTTGCTTCAGGAATCGTCTTTGGTTTCTTTCACACTGAATTTGTTTACGCTTCTCTCTTGCACTTTCCATTTCTTCCAGACGATTTTTTTCTGGCGTATTAGTAAAAATTCTAGACTTTCCTTTTCTAACATTCTTCTTTACAGTTGCTCTGGGAAACGGCCTGACAATTTCTGGGGTGACAATGTTGCTAGAGGTAGAAAGTGAGTTGAGTTTTCTATGCTACCTTTTATTTATGTCCTATTATAGGTATACCGTGGTTATTTCCGTGGATAGATGAAATAATTCTTGGAGGTGTGGACGGCGCTGAAATAAATGATATTGAAGGAGCTGTCTTTTGAGCCACGGGTGTTCTGGATGTTGATGGGACACCTGCAAGAATTTTTAAATTATATTAGTATTCATCACTTTTAAAGAGAAACGTACACCCTGGTTGTGCATTCCCTAGTGCTGGTGCAGGTTCTTCGGAGTCTGATGTCAACGATGGTTGTACATTTCCCGATACAGGTTCTAATGTAGACGATTCATCGGCCGTCCTATGTGGAGGTACATTTTCTTCGTCAATGTAATTTGCAAAACTTGGGAGAAACTCATCTTCGCGGAAAGCAAATCGGTTTAAAGGCCATAGCCCAGGTTTTTCAAATGACCTTGTTATATTTTTTTGAGTAAAAGCATTCTGAAAAGCTATTTTTGTGAGATGGGCAATTTGTCTTATGATTATGGTTTTCCCGGGGTTGGAAGTCATCCAGTCATTGAAGGCAACTGAGCAATAGGATTTGAATGGTCCATACACTCCCACGTCTAGCGGTTGAAGCGTGTGTGAAGTGTGTGGAGGAAATGAGAGCATGATTATCCCATTTTGACGGCAAAAGTTTATTGCTTTCACAGTTGTATGTGATTCGTGATTGTCCAGCAACACTAGTATTTTATTTTGAACTGAACAGTTTGTGTGCTTTTAACATGTTCCAAAACACGTAGGAACAAATCACCCGTCATCCATCCAGACTTATTACCCAAGGCTGTGCTGGACGTAGGAGCATCAATCAAATATTCATCTGGATTACGTGTTCTGGGAAAAACATACACTGGATGTATTATTATACCTACAAATGTTGTCAATTCACCTCTTTCGGCAGAGGCAGTCTGGCTAACCTGTTTTTTTCCCTTAGTTGAAACAATTTTGACAGGTTTTAAGACCGTTGTAACCCCTGTTTCGTATATGTGGTAGATCTGTTCAGGATTAAACTTGTGTTGAGTTAATACAATGGAGTAATTTTCAAAAAAATTTGATACGTTTCTTTTGTTAAAACCAGTGGCCCGGGCCAAACTAGTACTCTCTGGCTTTCTTAAAGAAATTGTCTGTTTGTTTCTATTCATAAAGCATTTCAGTCATTCAATTCCAGCTGCCCTATTCACCCTACATTGGGCAGGAATCTTGCATTCTGGCAAAGCAGATGCGTAATCATAACCCAAAATTCTAATTTGTCTGTAAGTTAACCCATAATTCATATCTGAACATGTCTGAATGTATTTCACTAACTCAATTTCCTGATCTTTTGTAAACACCTGAGACACGGCGTATTTGCTGCTATAAAGATTCTGGTTTCCATCATAATCACTTTCGTTGCCGGAGTCATTATTATACAGAGTTGGCAATCGTTCTGGTGAGTACTTTTTCTTTAACTTGCAAATTCTAGAATGTAGTGTACCCCTTTTCACATTAACATTTCTACTAGCTACCCTTTCCGACATTCTGTTACTCAACACCTCTTTAATCGCATTTCTCATGTCGTTTTCACTTATTTCAGTCCTGTTTGTCTTTTTTTTTATAATTCCGCACCATCTGAATTAATGTTTTCATCTATATAGGTACAGTTTAAGGTTTATTATCATTTCCTCTAGTAAGGGGCACATTCAACCACTGGCTGGGGCACATTAAACCAGTGGTTGAAAGTACCCCACCCCCAGTTGGTTGATTCTGCCCCATGCCCACATGATCGGAAAAACCTCCTGCCACTTTTAAAAATATTATTTCTAGGATAGAACTGTATAAAATTATAAATCTCCTAATAACCATAGCAACAGAATCGAATATCTAGTTTTTATAATACTATAAATTTAAACACAGTTTCACAAAATATAAGAACGAAAAACTTACCGTTAATTTAGGAAAACTGCACTTAATTTATTTTTCCACGTAAAAATCACAGGACGGCAACCAAACTACTCTGGCGGTGGCTATGGGTAACGATGAGTAAATGGAATTTTTTTTCAGCGCTAAATTCAAATTCTGAAAAGATTTAGGAAGAGTGGTTGAATGTGTCCCTAGGCTGAATGTGCCCCCCTTTCCCCTAAATGTTAAACCGGGAGATTATCTGAAAGAAACAGATATCGCCTATATTGATGAGTATTGTGAAATCTTACAACCTCTTGCCCAAGCCCTTGATATTCTTCAAGGTGACATAAATCCTTACGGTTACGTATTACCTACAATATTAAGCCTCAACAAAAAATTATGCAATCTGCACGAGAAAAAATTAAAATATTTGCCTGGATTACTGGAGGCAGGAATTAAAGGCCTAAAAAACAGATTTTCGCATCTCTTTAAACTAAATTTAAATGAGCCAAAGTCTAAAGAAGCAATTGTTGGCACAACCACCCATCCAGAATTTAAATTAAGATGGATAAACCTAATTGGCAAATATGATATAGATGGTAGTATGATTTCTGTTAATGATATTAAAACATGTTTAGCTAATGAGGCTGTGGCTGAAGCACTACAAGAAAAGCCATGAAAATGTTCCTGTCCCTGTGAAGCAAAATACTTATGATAACAGTTTTTTCGAATTCGAAGATAACAGTGTTTCAGAGGGAGAATCTACTGACATAAGAAGCTGTGTTGATTTAGAAGTTCTACAATATATTCAAGAAGAATCTCGCGACGTAAAACTTCTAGACAAGTATCCTTTTGTAAAAATCTTATATATTCGGTACAACACGTCCCTACCATCTTCAGCACCTGTTGAAAGACTGTTCTCTTTTGCCACTTTTTTAAATACTCCGCGGCGTCATGCTTTATCTGACCAACATTTTGAGTCATTACTGCTTTTGAAAGCAAATGAAGAATTCCTAAGTTCCTAATATTTTTTGTTTTGCGATATTTTGTTGTATACTTTGATTTTTTTGTTTTGATAAATTTCTACTGATTTATTTTTATTTTACCCAACCCAAATTAGATAAAGGTATGTTGTACGTTTTGATGTTTTTATATATTATTATATTTTATTTAGATTTTTATTTTGTTTTGTTTTAAAATCAAAAATAACTGGATAAGTTACCTATGTTATGTTCTTTAATATTCAATATATACCTCTTATATTAATGATTTTTTTTTTTAAGTGTGTTTAGTTTACAGGGTTTAGATTTTTAACTGTCGTGAAAATATCATTTTCGGCGACAATGTTATTTTTACGGCAGTTTGTCGCTAATTTTGGGGTCATACAATGTATGACATACATGTTTAAACATACACAATTTCCTTTTTTCTAATATAATAAATAGAGACCGGATTCTAGGCAAAATGCCTATCGTCAATTTTAATAGGCCGTTAAAAATTCTTAGTGCAAAATCAGTTTTACACATTTTTAGCGCAATTTAACCCAACATCATTTTTGCGTTTTTTCGACTTTTTGAAAAAAAAATGCCTAAACTGCCTAAATCTTGCCTAAAATGCCTAAATGCTTGCCTAAGGTGCCTAAATGCTTGCCTAAAATAGGATAAAATACCTTTTTAGGTTTTTTTTTAAATATTTATTTTTTAATTACCGCGCATTTTTTAAATAGATTTTTCTTTAAAAAATGCACACAAAAAATAATAAGCTAAATCGCAAAACACTATCTAGTCCTAAAAATCTGAATAAATAAACGAGGAAAAGCTCACACCCCCCACCTTTGATGTAGGAAATAAGTTTTGCCTATTATAATTCGATGAGAAACCAGATTAACATCGTGTTTTGACTACATTAACTTTGTTTGCACACGTGGATTTGGCGACTAAACAATTATTTCCTAAAATAATATAAGTATTATTAAAATGCCAAAGGAAAATAATTTTGTCTGATAAACGACATAATTTAACCTAGGAAAATGTCAAAAAAATTATTGTTTGCTACTATAATGGCAATAAAACCAAAAATTAATCATTATAGTTTTTTAAATAATTTAAAATATTTATATCAGAAATATTTGTTATTAATTTTTTATTTTATTTTATTAATTATTTATATTAGAAATATCTGTAATTAATTTTTTATTTTATTTTATTAATTATTTTTATTAGAAATATTTGTTATTATTTTTTTTGTATACATTATTATGTATGTTATATCGGCCTAAACGGCATATATCAAGGACAATACGCAGTTTGATGGAAATATTCCATTGCTGACTTTTATTTTGTATAAAGACTTATTGTTTTCATTATTATTCTATTTGTGTAATAACAAACTTCAATAGAACCTTTATTTTAAGTTATTTCAGTTTCATGTTAGTTTAATCTTAATTATAATCCTTGAATTTAATATAGTTCCTAAAACATATAAATAGGACTGTCTAGTTACATTCTGTATTCATTATATTTTATATCTTATTAAGTTAACTTCAATTTAATTTCTTGTAGAAAAGTTATTTAATAAAGTAAATGTTGTTTTTTAAAAAGTGCATTTTAATCTATCACATCTAACAAATTGGCGCAGTCGGTAGGATGGTCCAACAGCATTTTTAAAAAATTTCGAAAAATTTGAAGAAAGAAAAACACTCTGAATAATTTCGCTGGTGTATTTCCAATACTTTGTGGATCATCAAGAACTATGCAACAATCGTAAGTCCTTTTATACTTTCCTTTTCCGAATATTTTGTAATCAATCTGGTTAAATTTGTGTTTTTTATTATTTAATTAATTAATAACAATGTCTCAACACGGTAATGAACCTGATAACGGTATTGCTGGTGCCAATGCCAATGTTAATCCTAATAATGCTGCGTTAGGATTTAAATTATCTGAATTATTTTGTTTGATTCCCGAGTATGACGGAGATAAAATATTGTTAAATTCGTTTTTAACTTCTTGCGAAACAGCGCTGGATATTGCAAACGATAATCAAAAAGGTCTTGTTTTAGTTAATATTAAAAATAAACTTCGTGGTAGGGCTTCTCAGATAATAAATTCAAGAAACCTTAACACTTTCAATGAAATTCAAGTTTTGCTCCAAACACATTTTGGCGATTCGCGTGACTTAAATTCTTTAATAAATGATCTTCATCGAATGAGACAGTTGCCTAATAACACCTTTAACTTTCGCAAATAAAATTTCTACATTTAGTTCTAAATTACATGCTTCAATAAATTCTCAAAATATTTTAGAAGCGCAAAAACAGAGTCAGAGAGACATGATTGATAACATGTGTCTTGATACTCTTCTTACAGGTCTAAATCATAAAATAGCTCCAATAATCCGTGCATCTAATCCCAACAACTTATACGAAGCAACCATTCGTATTAAACGTGAATTACAATTAACTTATTTTGAAGAAAACAAAAGGTATCAAAATTATTCTCAGTCCTCAAATTTTAATAGAAATGACAATTTTAATCGTTCTAATAATTTTTACAGAAATAATAATTTTAATCATTCTAATAATCTTTCAAGGAACAATAATTTTAATCCAAATAAAAATTTTAATAATAAAAATACCTTCCCATCAAATAAAAATCAAAGCTTTAACGATTACTTGGAAGAAAATTTCTTTAAGCCAGGGTTTTTGCATAATGAAATTAAAAGAGCAACACGAAACTATGTACCTGAACCAGTAAACCGGAATTTTAACCGATCAAAAACTTGTTCATATTGTAATAAAATTGGTCATATTAGAGCCGATTGTTTTAAATTAAAGAGGGAAGCTAATAATAAAAATTTAAACTTCAAACGAGGGGAGAACGTGGGCAAATCTACCCCGACGACAAACGCCCTTTACGAGAATCCAAAGCCTTCAACTTCAAAAGAAAAGACTCAATTTTAAACTTTAATAATGTTTACACTAATTTCTCGAATAATTTTAAAAATAATGACTTGGAAGAAAATATATCTTGTCCATCTATTGATGAGACTGATTTTATTAATTATAATAATTTTAATGATTCTAATAAGACACGTCGGTTGACGATACTTTGTATGCATCTGTTGATGGTACTTGTCTTAAAGATGAAAATATTAAGTCAGTGGTTGCTACGAAGCGCACTGATAATATTTGTAATAATGCTAATAATGCTAATATTGATTATAATAAAGTTATTGAAACTATGTTTAATTCTTCCAATGTTCATAAGAAAAATAATGATACAAATGTTAATAAAATATATAATTCAGATGATGCTACGAAGCACACTGTATATAAAGATGAAAATGAGAAATTAAGTATAAATAAAAAGTTTAATATTCGTGAAAGTAACTTGTTAACCATTAACGAAAGTAATTATTATAATATTGTAAAAATATCACATGTGTATTTAATTACATGTCGCCTTACAAAGGGTCTATATAAATTTATTGTTGGTTTAGATAAAGATTTAACTGTTATAAAAAATGATACATTTAAAGAGATAACAATATTTTCATCTAATCTATTAAAATGCGAAATGCAAGATTTCGTGTATATTTGGAAAAAGAGTTCTGATTGTTTTATTGATAAAATTATTATTAAACAAAAGGGAGTTATAGATGGTAAAGTTGATTCGATCAATTTTACTCTTAAAAGGACAAACGCTAAAATTTACCTTATATTACCTTATCTTTATAAAGAAAGTAAAAGTATTAATACAATACAAACGCATCAAATGAGTAATATTAATTCAAGCCGTGGTTTATATTTTATTGTAGCAAAAATGAATAAGGGTAATTTTAAATTTTTAATTGATAGTGGATCTTCCATTAGTGTTGTTAAACCACACGTAATTTCTGAGACTACCGATATTTTTCCTTGTACCATTCTAATCAATAGCGTTAATAGTTCTTTTAAAATTGATAAAAAGTGTGAATTCGAAATGTTCGATAAACCTTTTGAAATTTATATTTATAATTTAAATCTTGAATATGACGGTATATTTGGAATGGACTTTCTTAAATTTTATAATGCCTTAATAAATTTACAAACGAGTAAATTAATTTTACCAAATCAAGAAATTTCTATGTATACAAATGAGACTTTTATTTCAAATGATAATTTAATTCATTTAACTATACCTGCTAGGACTGAACAAATTGTTAAATTACAAACTACTTCTAATTTAAAAGAAGGTATTTGTTCATGTCAATATTTGTCAAATAATTTAATAATCCCAGAAGCTTTAGTTAAAAATATTAATGGTAATTTTTACACAACTATTTGCAACACAAGTGAAAAAGATATTTCTTTGAAAGTAAAACCTTTCGAATTAACTGAAATACCTTTAACTGAGTCAATTAATTGTTTTAATGAAAATAAAATATCACATGTAAATTTTTCTAGAAACGATAAAATTATAGAACTATTAAGAACAGAACATTTAAATAAAGAAGAAATATTTTTAATTCAAAAATTGTGTCTTGATTATTCGGATATATTTTATTTAGAAGGTGATAGATTATCATTTACGAATCAAATAAAACACTCAATTGATACAGAAAATGCACGTCCAATTTTTACTAAGTCTTACAGATATCCACAAATTCATAAAACTGAAGTGCGTAGTCAAATTTCCAAAATGCTTGATCAAAATATAATTCGTCCTTCTGTTTCTCCTTGGTCTTCTCCAGTATGGGTTGTTCCAAAGAAACCCGATGCAAGTGGAAAAATTAAATGGCGATTGGTTATTGACTATAGAAAGTTAAATGATGTTACTGTTTCTGACAAATATCCTCTACCTAATATAACAGATATTTTAGATCAACTAGGTAAATGCACATACTTCACTACTCTTGATTTAGCTAATGGTTTTCATCAAATTGAAGTAAATGAAAAAGATATTCCTAAAACCGCTTTTTCTGTCGACCATGGTCATTACGAGTTTACCCGTATGCCATTCGGATTAAAAAATGCCCCTAGTAC